TACCGTACGGGGAGCCGGTATAAGTACCGGTGACACGTACGGTACCAGGGGCATTTCTGCAAAGGCCCCGAGGGCAGAACTGAAAAATGCAGTATTTGAAAGTGGCGCCCGAATTGCAGCATGGCGCCAGTTATCCAAAATCCTACGGTACCAAAAGGAGGGGTTTGGAAAAGGGGTCCCTGGCCTAAAACGGGATGCAGCCGAAACAGCAAAAGATAGACCAGGGATCGAGCCCTGGCGAAGTCCGTAACAGGCATGCAGACCAGCAAGCACGCACACACTCAGACTTTGAAAACTCAGCAACAAGCGGGAAACTCCGCAGGGCATACATTCCATTGGCAAACTCAGAAATCAGCTGTGTGTCGGTGTTTGGCAGGTCCTAACAGTAGTACCTTTGTCGTTTCCGAAAATGCCGGGCCTCCAACCTTTCAGGAGGCAGAAATGAAACAGCGGCCGCCGATCAGACTTATCAATGGAAGCCATAGTCGGGCCCCGCCTCCGAATTCTTCAGGAAGGGGCATTTTCCCTCTAATACAACACATCCCCACCCAACCCTAAAGCTGGGTTGGATACATTCACGATTTGCCTCGCTTTGGAGCAAAATTCACAAAATCGCGACTGAATCGCACTTGAAACTAAAAACCTTGACTGCACCCTTGTTTTCCCTTGTGAGAAATTTGACAATTTGCAGCTTAAACAAGCTTCATCACCCTGCTTGGCACAAAGGACGGTGGCATGAAATTGTGGTACATCTCTCTTCTTCCTCCTTCCCTGTTTGCATACAAGCGATCCTTCGACGTCCCTCGTGCCTGCCACACTGAGCATCTGTTTGTGTGTGACCCAAGTTCCCCCAGGAGGACATGAACTGTATGGCACCTTCATCCAAGCCCTCGGAGAGGCTCAACGTACATAAACTGTTCAAATCACTCAGTCCATATATACTGGCAAGTACCATGGTGAAGCTCTATTACTTTTCTAGGACTTAAAGAGATGAAGAGCAACGTCAGGCAGAATAAGGCTCAAAGGAGGCTTCGAGAGCCACATTTCTTGGGTATCAACGTAACCAGATGGTCAACTACCAGATCAGCAACACATTGCCAATTTCCAGTAGCTATTCGACCCTCATTTGGACAAGGAAAGCTTGCTCCTGTTCTGCCATCCCTGATCCTGGGTCAACCGACATCAGCATCAGAAGGTGCAGACATCAGAACTGTTTCGATGCCAGCCCTATGTGTAAACATGGGTACCAAGTTTCAACGATCTACTTCAGTGTCAACATTCCATGCCCACATCCTCAACGGCTCTTTTAAGCCTTCATTCTCTAGGCTGCTACAGTCACAACACTGTACCTCAGCACTTCACTCGCCCACTTCAATATGTTAAGAATATGGATTGCCTACAGGGTCACCTCTCTCTCTCTCTCTCTCTCTCTCTCTCTCTCTCTCTCTCTCTCTCTCTCTCTCTCTCTC